ATTTTAAACAAAGCAATTCATTTGAATATTCTCGGAGTTTTGGAAGTATTTTAACTATATTCCGACCGTCTTCCCTTTGTATCGCAGTGTCAAGAATATGAGCGGCACACACACACACACACACACATACAAATGGCGCTACATTTTCCGCGTGCACATGTACATTTTTAACGACATTCCAAGTCTTGGCTGTGTTTTAGATGAAAACACTCAATGCGGTGTGACATATTTTTAATTGTTCTTTGGCACTCTCAATTGCATTTTCTGGTATTTTTCGCTCCGTTTGCGTTTCACTCAGTGTCGAATATTTTCTCTCATTTTCGCTCCGTGTGTGTGTAAAGTGAAAGCGACGGCTCTTTCGACATAGAGAGCAAATCACATTTATAAACGCCGAACACGTGCTAGCATCGAATTGAGTTTGGCGAACATTTTTCACCGTCTGTTGAGCATGTGTATGTGTGTGTGAGAGAGAGCAAGAGCGAGAGAGAAAGTGAGACCTAGAATAAGTGAGTAAAGCGTGAAAAGCTTATAGGGCGGTTGTATCGCTCGTGACTTTTTCGCGGTTTGCGGCATGTTTGCCCACCCCCACTCAACACTCACTCACTCCGTTTCTCTCTCTATATTTTGAGTCAGTTAGTGTATAATGAACACATTGTGCATATTTTTGTTTAACAAATACAAACATTGGCCGTATCAGCATCAATGGGCGAATACGTTTTGAGTAGCGAATTGAACATTTTAGCACCTGCACACTTCCGACATTCAACGAATCCTGTTTACGATTTTGCAATAAAATTCAATACACATACACTCACTCACTCACGCTCGCTCACTTCTGGCTACAACGATGCTACACTGTGGTTCGTGCGTCTCACCTCACCTCACGTCTCGTCTCGTCTCGTCATACAGTGGTCGCTTTTTAATTCGGTTTACTGTTGTTTTTCACTGTTGTTTCCTTTTTTCATCCGTCAACACCGTTGTGCATGCCACTTTCAACACGTGGCAAATTGAAAATCGTTCCACAACTAAAACTTTTCTCATGTTGAATTTCATATTTTCTCTAAATTGTGTTAGCCGAGCTTAAGCATTACTACAGCGCTTTTTGAAATGCAAATTTTTCACTCTCACCAATTTAAGTTCGTAGCGTTGGTGAAATTATGGAAAGCTTTCATAATATTTTAATGCCAACAATCTCATCAACATATACACTACCGTGCAAAAGTTTGGAACCACTAGGTATTTTTCATACAAATTGACCATTTTTGGTGGACTCATTAACATATTTCGGAAACACCTGCACTCTTGATATTTTGTGCATAGTTTCTTCAACGTTTCAATAGTAAATCACAGAGGTTTCACCAAAAAATATTTACGTATTTAAAAAAATATAACAATTTGAATTCGATCTGTTTTAATCTTCATACAAATTTGATCATTTTTCACACAGTACAAATTCAAATTGATATATTTTTTAAATACGTGTATATTTTTCGATGAAACCTCTGTGATTTACTATTGAAACGTTGTAGAAACTATGCACAAAATATCAAGAGTGCAGGTGTTTCCGAAATATGTTAATGAGTCCACTAAATATGGTCAATTTGTATGAAAAACACCTAGTGGTTCCAAACTTTTGCACAGTAGTGTATGTATATGCGTAGAAATTAATAAATCTTTTTCAAATGAACAAACATGTTCATAATTTTATTTGGTTGGGAATGTGCTCCAAACAGGATGTATGTGGCACAGCATCCATGTAAACCGAAACGAATTGAAATGACAAAGAAATTTCATTTCGAGATTGAATTTAGAACCGAAAACATGCATTACTTAAATGTGTTTTTTGATGCATGAACGCAAGCAATTACCGACAGAAATTCCGCTCTCGATCGACATTTTCTCCGGTATAGATTTACGAATTAACGAAGTCAAAGTCATGCAAACAGCAATGGCAAAAACATAAAATCACTCTTGTGCGCGCAGCTAGTTTGTCACGGATGCTCATCACACAACCAAAACTATGCCATATGTGGGCCAAAGTGCAAATGTAATTTTCTCGTGAAAATTAATTTGATGAAATCCAGAGAAAAGTTCATAAAATATTCATGACGAAAAATAGTTGCGCTCCTTGCGAATGCAGTCAACCGTAGCGAAAATTTGGGAGTGCATTTGACGTTGCAGTAAAGAAAAAAAATGTTGTTTTCCATTTTCGTAATTTCATGCAAGAATTGGGTTAACGCTAACCAACATACTAACTATTAATGACTAAAAATTGTGTAGAAGAAATGTTGTGCCCGAGTCAAAGCTTCATTGCTGCCGCTGAAGCATATCAAATGAGTCATTTCAACGGACTTTCATTAATGCTATCGTAAAGCAGCACATGGTCGGTTTATCAAGTAATTCATTCTTGAAAATACTCGAGTATTTTCATTTGAATTATGCAAAAATAAAAAAATGCTGTTGCTTCAAATGGAGCCCTCTGTGTATGACGCCGAAAGTCTTAAAATCGGTCGAAGAAATCGATGTTCTCATCTCATTTTCGATTCTTCACGACGATTCTCGTCCGCTCTTCATTTTCATTTACCAACGAAAATTGACTTGCTCCCACTACATTCCTTGATTAACTCCGAACCCACCATACGACAACCAATAAACGTCAGCAAAATTCGTCGTGGCATTTTTTGAGCGATTATTTTTTTTCCTTCAATTTTCCTTTTCTTCTGCTGTTTCTGCTTCCACTTTTTCTCTTCATTTTGCTTTGCCTCGCATCTGGGGGCCAGACCAATCGAAAATTCCAATTATTTCCCCGAAAACTAATAAAATTTTACGATTGTGAACAAAACAACGACGACTTTTCTCTTTTACGACGATGTTTTTCTTTCTTCCCTCTCTCTATCTCTCTCTTCCTCTCGTTGCGCCACCATTCATCCGGGCATTTTGGAATTTCAGCTCACAGCTCAATTTCTAATTTACTTGATGGTTATTTCCGATAAGAGCTCGAGAATATTACAAACTCAAATAAATTGTGTAAAAAGCATACTTCAGCACCAAAATAGTTTGTACGCCGATATTTTGATGGAATTCAATCATTTTTCTGCAAACGAAGTGGAACGAAGAGGAAGAAAAAAATGATATGAAAAAAAAACGACGGGAATTCATTTGGTTCGCATGAATTGGTTTTTCGTTTAAAATTGAATAACACTGACAAATCAATTGATGAATGCTGTTGGAAAACAGTTGTGCAGCATACATATAAAATGGAAATTGAAAAAATTCGAACACAAGAACGTTGAGAAAAAAAATTCGCCCGAGATTTTCAAAATCATTATCGTTCAAACTTTGAATTTCAGTGAGTCATGATTCCGGTACAAAATTGTGGGATGATTGTTTTTGCGCTTTTCATGGATACGGCCAACATAAAATCAATCAAATACAGGTGATTGCCTTGGATTCGAGGGAAAAAATGCGGAAAATGCGGGTGCGTTGCTTCGTCAATCAAAACCGTGCTCCAAAAAGAAAGCTGAACTTGATACGTAATCTGTTAGTTTGAGCAATGACTCTTCGTATTTCGAACGAAAATACCGAAAATAATATCTAGTGACCACCAAATCAATCATGACACAAGTGGAAAAAAGACAAGGAAAGAAGTTTGGTTTTTTTTAATTCGTTGTGTTTGGTTTCTCAAGCGAATGAAAAGCAATCAATCTTATTTTGGCCGTTTTTTTCCTTCTTCTTTTCATTCCCATCAAATCGCGTGTAATGAACACATCATGCCAGCAGCAGTGTACTGTCATAATAAGACGTCATCATTACAAGTCAGTGACTTGACAGCATGCTGTCGAGCAGCTCTGCGATTCCGCTGCTGTCATGACAATACACACTTGGTTGAGTGTATATCCGCGTGTCTGGCCAGAAATGAAAATTCAATTTTACATCTGATCAACTTCGTAAACACCGTAATATTCTTATTACTTTTTCTTTTAATATTCATATTGTTTTCCAAATTTGCCACATAATGAAAGTCATCACTGAAAAGTTAGACATAAATTGAAAAATGCAGAAAATAAACTCACCCGAGGGTATGTCAAAAATCCGAAATGAAAATATGAGAGGTAGAAAACAACCGAAAACGAACAGAAAAAAAAACACGCAAAAGGAATTGCGTGCAAATTAGAAAAGAACATAAACGTGGCAGGACAGAGAGTGAATGAAACATGTCGCAGTGGTGAGTAATGATACACGAAGGGAAAACAAAAGCGAATCGCATGAATCGCCTGATGGTAATAATGGTTTGGAATGGCGATGACAAAAACCGAAGAAGAAACAAGAGAAAAAAATTTTGCACACAAATCTACAGGATAAGCCGAACAAAAAAATAGCCATGAAAAAAAGGCGTGGAATGAATTTTCTGCTTGACTTATTTTTATTCTTATTCGCTTTCCATATCGTTCGTGTTATATTTTTTTGGAGCCTCATTCTGGGGATTCTTCTGCTAATCTTTTCTTCTATTCAAACAGTTTCATTGGCATGACTTTTTTAGAGAGATAAAAAAAAACTCGAAGTCATTCGAAATAACGTGAGGGGAAAATCAAGTGAAAAATTGTGCTGTTGGACAGATGGAAGAAATCCCAACACACACAAAATCATCATAGTCGCAAATGAAATGCTAGTCGAAAATTAATTCAATTTTACGGCACTTTTTTTTTCATTCGCATTAAATGGCTTTTCATTTTTATTTACGACTCGAATTTGGACGATTCGTTGTGCGGTTCGAATGAGGCCGGTGGCAGAATCAATTTCGATTATGACCAATTAGAGATGCCATCAAATATTTATGCGCGTCACAGCACACAAATACACACACACAAATGAGTGAAGCCAATTTATATGATATTTTGATGTTGATGGTGGATATCAATCATCATTTCTGCCCGTTTTTTTTCTTGGTAATTTCGAGATTTTATTGATATTATTGTTTGTTCTTTGTGCTTTGGAAACAGGTGTCATCGCAAGCAGCAATTTCAATGGGAATAATGGCAGCATAGCAACTATTGAGAATAGCACTAGTTTCACAAATAATAGTCACTATAATGGAACAATAAATGAATTAGTCGTATCGAAAACAATGCAAAGCGATGATAATGCGGAGCATGTGGTGGAGCCGTCATTGTCATCGTTGTCGTTAATACGAGATAATGGCAGTAGTAGCGTTGTGCCATCGATAGATGATGCATTAAGCAGAGAGACGACAGTACTTGCACCAGCAATGGAAACAATAGCAGCAGCCGCTGCATCGAGGACATCGACAACATCATCATCATCGCTGTCGTCGTCGTCGCCGCCGCCATTATCCGATGCGGAAACAATTCACACTACAATAGCACCATTGACGGATGGGGAAATCACGAATCGCATGCAAACATCTCAATTTATTGCATCGAGCAATGCCCAAAGGGACAGTCCATCAACATCGTCTACATTGCCAATTACAACTAATAAACCACGTGAGTACATGCGATTTAAATTCACATCTGATATATAGGGTTTTTTATGATTTCCCATTTTCGTGTGATTGAAATTTATTTGCTGTGGGACCACTGTAATGAAATCCAATTCAACAAAGAATTCACGGCATGGCTGCCGTTGTTACAATACAGCATCCTACAATTTCATTTCATCAGCCAGCGCAAGTTGTTCGCGAAATTGAGAATCGTAGTGTTTTATTTCGTTTGGTGAATAAATTGTGTTGAATCAGAACTAAAATTGAGTCGCTATGGCTAAACGGATTGATGAGAGTAAATGTTGTAATGTCAGAGTTGTGCAATTGGAAGCATCCGATCGAAAACGTTGAGGTGATTTGTAAAATGTGATATATGAATGAGTGTGGCTGAAGCATGTCACCGTAGTTTTCAATGCATTGTTGCTGAATTCCCAGTCACAGCGCGATCTGGTTCAAAACATGCAACAAAACCAAAAACACATAAAAAAACACTCAACATTAAATTCAAGCTCTCTCGTGCTCAATTCACACAGCAACAGCAGTAAGTCTCTTCGCAGTAAACATATTTTGGTGGAGAGCGAATTCTGGGCTGGAATTCTAAGTCATTCCACCAAAATCGTTCGGAATTATTTTTTTCGTACATAAGACCATATTGGAGTGAAAGAGAGAAATTTCACTATTTTTCTGCACTCCACCGGAATTATTCCGATAACTCAAGGAAGAGTGGATTGTGTGAGAAATAATTCCGGTGGAGTGCAGAAAAATAGTGGAATCTCTCTCTTTCACTCCAATATGGTCTTATGTACGAAAAAAATAATTCCGAACGATTTTGGTGGAATTCTTAGAATTCCAGCCCTGTACACATTTTAACTAGATTGCATTTTATGCGCTGGCCACATTGTGCCGGAGAGTAGCTTTCTTGCAGAAAAGTTGCATCCTTAAAATTGCCAAAGCCAAAGTATTGCCAAACGAGTTCCAAACCGAATGAAATGTAATGAATTTCCACCGAATTTGCCACCCCAAAACACACACACGCTCACATTGACACAGACAAAATACTTTGAGCTCTTGACGACGTTGGTCTTTCAACATAAATATGTATGCCATTCGAATAAATGTCTGTGCATTAGGAAATTCATCTTTCTTTACCTCCCTCTCTCTCTCTCTCTATCGCTCATTGCATGAGTGTCTCTGTTTCTCGACTCTCCGTTTTGGCCTCAGCCAAATGGAAAATGGCACGAACAAGTTTCGGTGGCGAGTTTCATACATATTTGATGCCTGGGACGTGGTAACATTTTCGCTTACAGTTTTTGCATACAAATATGTGGATTTTACCAATTTGTTTTCGAACCAATAATTGGAATTCATTTCTTATGCGTGGCAACGTCACTATATCCCCAGTACAGCCACTTCAAAATGTCTTCATTTTTATTATCTGAACTTCCTTTTCCATCGAAACATTGGATCCAAAATGCAAAAAAAAAGTAGAGAAATGGCACGATAAAGTGGAGAAAACTTCTTGAAGAAATTAACTATTGAATGTAAACGAAATGACCCCATCCAGCACAACCATTGCCAACCAACAACTGAATAAATCGACAGAACACATTGTGACGATTCGTAATTTTCAGCAAGAAAGAATTACCAATCCAATAAATGTCGATGGACTTCTTCTGCGAACCTCTTTAATTCCATTGCACGCTTCTTTTTCGGTTTGCTTTTGCTTTTTTTTCTTCCTTCTTCAAAGGGCAAACTCATTCAACTTTCAATTGTTTGAACTGTACACTTTTTCAATGGTTTTCAATTTAGTTTGCAGTTATAACACGCAATACAAAGTTTATTTCATTCAATTTAACGATCTCAATGTACCGAAAACACTCGTACCACCCCCTCTTTCAGCATCCCACCTTCTCTCGTTTTTCTTTTCTTCCTCAACTACATCTTTCAATACTTCATTGTAGTTTCGATTTCGTTTTTACGGCACTTTTTCATATCATTTTTTATACCTTTTCACTTGCACGGTTTTGACAACACACAAAAGAAAATTGAGTATCAGTTTGTCGATCTCGACGCTAATGTTTGGTTTGAAATGGTTTGAAATGTTCGTTGTGTTACAATGAAAACGACCTTGCTGCCACTGCAGCTGTTGTTGTTTCTGCGTTTTTATCATCGTTTTTTGTTCTTTTCGTACATGTTGGCTTTATCGCTGCGAGTTTTCTTGCTAACTACTTGAAACTAACTGTTAAATTCTCAAATTGCTTCTCAACTTTTGCAACTCAATACAGAAGAATTGTTATTATATTAACTGTCCATCACATGCAAAGACGTCATTCCAACTAATTGCATAGAACCAGATGTGATCGATTGATTTATTGCGCACAATTATAAACGCTTCCTTTTTCGAGCGAAATTATCTGCATTGAAGAGCCCCAGAGATGATGGTCTTTCAGTTAAAACCACAACTAAATTGAAATAGGGGCTAAAGCCGCATAGCCTTGTGTGGTTTTTCTGACAGTCTATTAATATTTCCGTTCGTTTTTGGCCTCTTCCAATGCCTAATGTTTTCCAGAAAATACGATGAAAATTGAATCACCATCAAATGTATTTATTTTCAATCGTTGCATTTTTTCCAATCAAAACATCGAAGAGAAGCGTCCATAATTCATGACTGTGAGTAGTTCAAAATAGTTCGATATAATTGTTTAATATCCCATTTACGGGTTGAAATGTTTGGTTTATCTTTGCTTTGTTTGTTTCTTCTTTCGTTCGTTCAATTTCTAAAATTGACTAGATAACTTCCTTTGGAAAAACTAAGTTTTTCAAAACATCACATTCGAAACATGAAAGCGATGTGTTTTTGATACTCGTTATGTACTTTATTGGGTTGTTGTTATTGTTGATTGGGAGTATCATGCAATGATTTCATTTGAGGAAACATGCGAGATATAAACAGCTTTGCCACTTTTACCTGGATTCGATGGAAAAGGATTTGATAAAATCAATCTCGAAACGAGTGAACGAACGAAAGAATTTTCTTTCAATTGGATAAATTAATTCGCTGAATGAAGCAAATTGAATCAAAAACTTTGTTTTTTCACATCATTTCAATGGGTTCATCTTTTCGATGAATGGTGCTTCTAATTCAACCGACAAAACATCTAACCAAATCTGTTGCCGTCATTTCATTGAACTGGCTATCATCCTCGTCCAGTGGTTGATACCTATTTCATCGCATTCAAAGGACCAATCACAAACACATATACAGAGCAAAGAGAGAGAGAGAAAGAGAGAGAGAGAGAGAGAGAGAGAGAGAGAGAGAGAGGGAGAAAAAAACGCCGGAATAAATATCAAAAACAAAAACTTTTTCGATGCAAGAACATATAATTAATTCGCCATTGGCAATTGATCTGACTGACAGCGAACTGAAAGGAAGTTCCATTTTATAAAAGTTTTGCTCAGCTTGTATCGTATAACACGCAACTTGTCCGATTTATTATTGGAATGGAGCGGATTTTCCATTTTATTCGATGAATGAATTTTCCTTTCTATTTAAGTTTTGGCTGTGTATATGTGTGAGTGTACAGTTGCAAAGTCCCAACCATTTTGCTCAAATGGATCCATACAATGAACAACTATGAAAAGCTCGAAGAAAGTATTTTAATAGATGAAAAATGAAAACTTAAGTTGAAAAGTAAACTGAGTGATAGATCCTTGAAAATTGTATTGACTTTCTTTAGTTGCATAATCCATTCAGTACGCTACCTCGATGCAAACCAATCTCCGCGCGGTTAAGCGTCGTTCTTGGACATTTCCCTCATCTTCACTCCATTCCCTCCCAAACCATTATAGCAAAAGTATCAAGAAGCGTTTTCAAATTTTCAAATGAATTTGTTTGTGCAGAAATAAGAGCGTATTCATAAACTGTGTCCCAGAAGAAAAAAAACCATCAACAAATGAAGGGAGAGAAAAGCATTAAGTTTCAATTCTAAAATGTATCCTGTTTCTTTTCACTTTTCCTTTAATGGAAGTTGATAGCGGTAGCAAAAGAGGACCAACAAACAGGATCAACACATTTCAAAAGTTTATTTTCCCAGATTTGTCATAAAGTCACGCATCGCCGCATTCAACATGCATTCACCATTGTGCGGCGGATAAATGAGACCTAATTAACTAATTGCGAAGTCTTCTGCTGAAAAGCATCGTTCATCGTTTTCATCGTAAACAATGACAAAGAATAAACGACACCTTCACACAATCATGATTTGTGAGTCTCATCCCGCGCGTCGCAGACGATATACATTATGAATGCATTAAAGCTAAATAATGATTGATTTTCCCAATGATTATCTCTTGCGCCAGTGATTTTGCCACAAAATGAAATTTTTTCATTTTTGACACAATTCGGATGTGTCGCTATCTTTTTTGTCAATGCACTTTTTTCGTAGTCTTTCAGCTAGATAATGTTAGTTTGATGCGTAACGGAACACATTACCGCTGAAACGGATGCTCCGACAAAGACTGAATGAAAACAACGATGAATGAACCAAATTTACGAGCCACTTATACCATCACTTTGGCCATACCATTTGACAAAATCATTTGTGCACAGTGCTTTTTCCCTCTCTTTTCCCATCTGTCAAGGCATCAGAGAGAGAAAAAAGCGCCGACTAATTTACAATAAAAATTTATTGCTTTTATTTGGTGTTCATGGTTTTTTTTTTTTTTTTTTTTCTTCTCATTCTCCGTTGCAGATGCTTCAACATTTTCCGATTCGATGTTGCGTCAGAAAGTGGCTGCTCATACACGACAATATCAATCAAAACATCATCACGAACATCATTATTCTGGGCCGTTTTTCGAAGGCCCATTAAATACATCAGCTGGTGCGCTCAATGTTGGCGTGCATTTGTACACGGAGGGCGTGTTCGATTGTCGTGTCGGAATGCTAAAAGATAAAACGGTAAGTTTTCAACGATACACAAAGCAAATGTGTGTATGTCTCTCTCTCTCGCTTTTTTTCTATTTGCTACATGAATATATATTGTACATTGATCAATGAACAAGCCACGGAAGGATCATATAGTGAATTGCAGACCCATTTGAAATTCCATGATGTTGTGCAAGTATCAGTTGGTATAGGGAGAAAAATGTATACATATATTTTCATTGATTTTATGTTTGTCTTGATGGGTTTATGTTTCGATGCACGTTTTTTGTTGTTGTTGTTGTTCAAGTGAAAATTGCGTCATTTTTTTCTCGATGAGAGGAAAAAAAAGATTAATGAGAAAAACCAACGATTAATTCACCTAGGCAAATTTGTTTCAACCTCAAGCCCAATTAAAAAAAATTCTCTTTTTTATGTGTTTTCTCCTATCCTCTGTTTTTATGAGTTGTTATTTTGCTTAGCCGTTGTTTGTGAGTTTAAAACGCTGTTGCGAGCCCCGAGCGTGTTCAACTTTAGCGCAAAGAGAAAAAGAATAAATCATTTTTGTTGGGAGGTCATCAAGTGAGTTTGTTGTATGCAGGTTGTCAAGCATTTTTTTCTACTGTTGTTGTCTGTTATTGCATGTGAAGTTGAAAAAAATGAACATGTTACACAAACAAAGTGAGCAACAGTGAGAGGAAATTGAGCTCCACTCATCGGGCTTGTTGTTTTGTTCATACAATTGCCAACATACTCTTCCTTTCATGCGAAATTAACTTGTGATGAAAAGCGATGTTTGTTGTCAACTGGAAATATCATTTGGCTTGTTTTAACTTTTCCGTCGATTACCTCTGCCTTTGTCCGCTGGATATCCCATCACTTGACTTAATTGCGAGATAGAGAGAGAGAGAGAGAGAGAGAGAGAGAGAGAGAGAGAGAGAGAGA